TATAATAATTTTTTTTATAAAGTCTTCCTGCGAAAATTAATTCATTATAAAACACAACATTACCAAAATCAATGTTTAAATTATTAAACATATGTTTATACTCATCAATGGGTTCAATTATATTACTATCATTTAATTCAAGAATATCTGGAATTCCATTTTCATAATCTATAAGAAATTTTGCGAAGCTTAAGCCAGCTTTTTTACAAAGCGTTAATGGGACATTTACTCTAGAGTTTATATTATTACAATACCTTTTTGAGTCCTTATGTTTTGCTTCAAACCTTAAGCTCCAAGTATACTTTGGTGGTCCAGATTTCTTTTTTAAAGTTAGATAGTGCAGTAAAAAGTGAGCTTTGGTCTTGAGTGACCCATATAAATTAAAATAAATTTTATTATGCTCACAAACTACTGATTTAAGAATATCTAAATCATTATCTTCAATTTTTTTAATAGAATATCCATAATTAATAGCTTCCAGTACGGATTATTTTCAGGAACTAAGTCCCCAATTATAAGAAGTATGAAATCTGTTAACGTCCATAGTTCCCTAACAGTCATTTTTAAACTATATGTTTGAAGAGCATTATGTAATATATCAGGTCCTATATTTCTCGCCTCATCCTCTCCATATGGAAGTAGTCTTCTGCGACTATTGAAAACATCTAAAGTAATTGTTTTGGATTTGATTAAAGACAATATTGTATTTCAAATGTCATCAATGCAAACCCCTTCAAAAAGATCATGCATTAAATCTAACGATATATTTTGTGTAACATGAAAGGCTTTAAGTTCATTAAAAACGCACTTTGTTTTTATACCGGTTTCTCTAAAGTCCTGTATAAAAAGGTCGGTAGAATAGTTTTCTTTATTTCTTAAAGAATTAGCAATTTCAATTTTATCCGTTTGCATTTCACTTCGTTCACGACGATAAATTCTGCAAAACCTCTTCGCATTAAAGGATTTTACAAAACCCAATATGGAATTTAATACTTCAGTTATCGCCTAGAACTAAACCGAGGGTGAAATATATTCGATATGTTTTATTTGCTGTTCTTATTTCAATTCTTTGAGTTTCTAGAGACTTTAATTCTTGAATCAAATAACGAAATATTTTCTCATTTCCAAAAGTTTTTATATCACAACTATTAACATAATATAAATGGAAAATTAAATCTAGCTTTGATGTTACATGCCTTGGCAAAGAAGGTAAACTATAATATCCTGCGGTTATAGATTTTGAATGGAAACCTAAGACATTATTAATCCCATAGTCGTCGAAATATATAATATAAAAGTTTCTCCGTTTAAAAAATTAGAATTTTTTTCATTAAGTGATTTTTCTATAGTTTTTAATGACATTTCTAAACATTTCCTGGAATTTCAAAAAGTTTTTTTAGTTGAAATTTAATTGGCATAAAGCAACAGCTAAATATTTTGACGTCTAAATCAGGATATCCATGAATTATGGGTTCGGAAATTTGATTCGAAATAGTAAAAGATATGGGTTCTTCACATTTTTGGTTTTCTTTGAACAATTTAAAAAAATTGTACTCTGTCGAAATGTCTATGAAGATTTTTTAAAAATTGTAGGATACTATATAAATGGTTGTTTATATTTGTATTACCTAGAGATGCTTTAATGGGGGAAAATATATCTAACAATAAACATTGTATAGTTTGAGTTTCTACGTACAAAAATAACGAAAATTTTAATGCATGATTTTTAAAATTAAAAATCTTTGAAGTTAATTCGGATTCATTGGCGACAATACTATTTAACATGACATCATCGTCTTCAATGAACCTATTATGAAAGTTAACAGAATTTGATTTGATTGTGGTGGGATGAGTACTATTTTCATTTTGATTTGAATTTTTATTGAGATGTTTATTATTAATGTGAGCTTTTAATGAGTTGTAGGAAGAAAATGTTTGAGAACAGTCGTCTAGTTTGCACTGTGTTGTACTTGTGGAATTAAGAAAGTGATCAATCTGATAATGTTGTATTAAGTCACAAAGCGCAAATGTTTGGTAACTTATGATCTTGAACGGGTTTTATTTCATAAAAATATTCTTGAATAAAAAACCGTGGACCTCCACATCCTTCTGGATATTCCAACGATAACGTATGTATTATTTTAAAGCATGTATCTAAGCATTTCAAAAACGATCCAAATTTTAATAGTGTATTATCAAAATAGACGTAAAATTTCTCAAGATTATAAATACTGTGGCCTACAACTATTATAAATGGTTGTATAGTCAACCCCCATTGTAATATTTTTCTTGTATTACAGATATAATAATCGTTGTCCATATAGTATCAGTTGGTCCAGTTCGTCAGCTCTGCTATTAGTATATAATGGCCAATTGCTAAGAAATTCGTAATTACTACCAGACGACTTTAGTTCGCTTTGACTTAATGAAAATGTCCTATGCCACATGTCTTGACAATGAAGCTTTTAAAGCTGGTAGAACTGGTGCGTCAACTTGTGAACAAGTATTCTCGGGGATTGAATCTGAAGCTTCAAAATGATCTTTGATTGAGCCTATTGAACGCAATAGCTTGGCTCTCTGGTTTACGTATTTATCCCAAAGTTTACCAATATGAATCGATTTTCTTCCTAGTGGCACAAAGTAGAATTCCTAAAATAGAAATAATTGAATTGGTCATTGTACTAATATGTGAAAATGTAAATACGTACTCTTATTTCACAAGGAAAGTTTTCTATTATTTCATCCACTATTGGTGGCAAATCTTTTGGAGATAATTCTACATTACGATAAAATATATCTTCTAATATTATATTTATTAAATCTCCACGAAACGAATCCGTTATGTGATGATTTTTATCATAAAAACTTGTGATGGACCCTCCTTTAAGGCTGTCTTCTAAAATAAGTTTGAGGCTCTGAAAAAAATGTATATTACAAAAAAAAAAAAAAAAATAAACTATGATTTGAAATTTTATCTTAGACTGCTTAGAATTATCAATTAATGTTGATAATGATGAAGCCGGCGATGGTGTTGTACTAACATTAGATTGACTTTGTAACCAAGAGACTACTTTATTGGCAATCGTTTGAGACAAGGTATCGTCATCAATGTTATACTGTAGAAAATGAAAACAAAATATTTGAAATAAATAAAATGAAAACATGATTAAAAATGATTTTCCTTACTTCAGTTTTTCTCCAAGTAACAAAAACAACAATGTTGCGTAAAATTTAATTGATACAAATGAGTCGGTTCCCTCTGTTTATGTTGATCGTATTTATATACTTACTTTCTAAATAAGGTTTTACTTCAATTAAATCAAAAAATTTCAATAGCTCATCTAATTGGGTACTTTGAACATCTGGAATGGTTATTATAATATTTCCGTCTTCGTCACTCAATAAATTAATATTATCTTGGCTAAAATTTTGCACAACACTTGCCAAATTTATATTATTATTGTACGCTTCAGACATAATTGTATTTTAAAGAATTAAATTCACCTAATATGTGCAGAACTTTACTTTTCCACGCGGTATACGCCTTAACACTCTAATAAATGCTAAACGAATGGAATTTTTGTTACATATTGTAAAAAAGCGGTACTTGTTCTTCTTTCTATATAATTTAACATGAATTCATTTCATTTCAACATTGTTTCATGTTGTTTTAACAATCCACAACTTTAATTCAATCTTTTTCCAGTTAGTATTTATTTACATTTCACAATATTAATTTAACATGATTGAAATGTTGTTTCAACATGAGTCAATGTTATTTAATTTGTAAAATATAAAAATGTAATTTCAACATTAATAACTATTAATTTTACTATTGTCACAATGTTAATTTAACATGAAAAATTTTTATTTTTATTATCTATTCATTCATCTATGGAAATTCAACATTGTCTACTGTTATTTTATCTACGAAAAATGTTAAAATAAATATGGCAATTTTATTTTAACGTGAAAAATTTGAAATCAACAACGTTAAATATTAAATTAACATGTTTTACTGTTTTTTATATGAAAAAAATTACATCGATGTAAAATCAACATTTTGCAATGTTAATTTTACATTCGCTTTTTTCTGTGTGTATGTACAATATACCCAAAGTGGTGAAGGGTATCATATAGTCGGCCCAGTCTGACTTTACTACTTTCCTTACTGGTTTTCATATTTAGTTATAGGTTTTTTTAGTTATTTGAAGTTATATAAAACAGATGCCGACTATTGGAACATACCGAAATTAGGTGTGTTTACCCTATATATTTTACCCTCTGAGATAACAAAATGTTAAGACCTTTGGACTTGACCATTATATTGGATCCTTATTGAACATTTTATTTGCATACTAGTAACGTGGAATCATAGCCCTTTCGGTTGTAAAATGATTCTAGGACCATGAAAATTCATAAACTTGCGCATTAGTTCAAAGAAAAAACCGTAAGTATGTAGTAAAACTCCTAAAGATTATCATTAAATGACAAATAACATGAAAACGGCCGAAATTAAATATTTGGTCTATATAAGTATATGAAACGATTTAATCAATCCACATTCAAGTCGATTTGCAATATAGCTGCAAATTCATGGCAACCAGTGCTTGATGTATCATTTGTTTGAAATCGAACAAAATTGCGTCGAAGGGTCTTTAGTCGGACGCAAAACGTCATCCCGTTCGGATTATGTTACTTGTACTTGTACCAATGTGTAAAGTGATAATGCATGATAATCGTCATGTCACATACAATGAGATATGCTTAGACATTTATATCACCGGCATATATTCGATATTACGAGTATTTATGGGAAAACCACAATCAAAGAAATGTTTATTATTGAAAAATAATTGCAATCTTTATTTTCATATTATCTGGATACATACACACACTCATCAATATCATCCATTATCCCCAAACAATTTTCTCTATCCAATCAACATAAAACGAAAGTCGGGTATAAAATGAAGGTACCCCCTTGGCATCGCAATTACCCTCACCATGCGATGTAATGCCCAGGACCAAAAACAAACAATTATAATCGGGATGATGGACAAATAATGGCCCACCCCCATCCTCCGCACATGTACCGACCTCGTAGTTAAATGATCCAGCGCACATTTGTATAGTTGTATTGATCGCGATGGTCGTCTCATTGAGACACAGATCATCATTGAACTTATCCAATCTAATTTTTTTCAAATGGCCAGTCGGTCTACCGATATCCGTTACAGGACCCCATCCAGCTGCCAGGATTTTTTTAAAATCTCGTCCATCGGCTCGAGGTAGACAGGCAGGTACAATATAATCATTAAACTGTACGGATGCATTTAGTTTCACCAAGGCAATGTTATGAAATAGGGTATCATCATCGAACTCATCATGAAATTTATATGATGCAATTGAAAAGTCGACAGGAGCAGCATCATCATCAGATGTGTTGTAATCAAGATCTCCCAAACGTACAATATTCGGTTCGCTGTAAACGGGACAAGAGGAAAATGTACATTTTAATTTGAAAATCGAATATGGAATTAGTGGGAAAACTGAGGAACTGGGGACTGAGGGAAACTAAATGATTGTGATATCTCACGAAAATACTCCACTTCGCACAAAATATTCACACGTATATTTTAAGTTTTTTTAAAGATGATGTTTTATATCTGATTAAATAATATTTGAAATCATGTTTTCAGAGTGCATCATAAAAGCACAGATAATGGAAAACCCAAATCACGATAAGGTACCAGTATTCAATGGATCAAAGACAAGAAACTTCGTATAATAATCTCGCTTTAGATTTACTCACTGTGCAGTATAAAAACAAGATGCCGCGCTCACAACATATCTGTTACTAATCAATGATCCGCCACAAATCGGTTTACGTTCATTACCATTTACGTGCAATAACATCGCCATAAATGAAAACTCTTTGGGGTCAGCATTTTTGACGCCATCAAAAAATGATATGTAACAAACTTTTCGTACATTCCGATACGATTTACATTCTGCAAATTAAGCAACAACAAAACAATTAAATCTAAAGCAATGCAGAACAAAATAATATATGAAATACCTCTTACTATGCGTTTCTCATTATATTTTGTCGGCACATACGGTTGAGGTGATGAACCACCATCTCCGGATGCTATAAAATATATAATCGGTAAAGTATTGTAATTTTTGTAATGGAAATAATGCAAAAATTAAATCAAAGAGGGTGCAAAATGAGCAATAGGAGCTAGATCCAGTTCGTTAGTTCCTATATTTCTTTTCTGTTACCACGTTCCTTTATTTTCTGATCCGCGTTTGTGATATCTTCCTTTTTACTGATTTCTTTCCTTTATTCAATTTTCTTAATCCGTTGTCAATAGATATTTTACTTTTGTCATTTCAGTTTTCGATATTAAATATTATTACTTACACTCTACTTACACTCCGCAAACATTGATTTCTGCAAAAAAAATCCGCACACAAGCAAGGTCAATAATATTCTTATAAGCAATAAAGTTTAGTGTATTTTATTGAAACGATCACCACGAATTCACTAATCTCACTGGTAGCTCAATTGCCAGTAATCCAGCATTTAAGCTAACCCACCGCACTCGTTTTATTTCATTATCAGCAATCGAACAAAAGTTATCTATAGGAATTTTGGGGAATCTAAAAGCCGACCACCATGCACCACTAATCCAACAAAAAAAAAACCCCCCAATGTACCGAGCATTTAAAAAATAAACTTTTTAATGATTGTATTGACGAAAGCACTCCTTTTCCCGATAATAATATAGAACACAATGGCAAACAATTGCCTACTCCTTACAAACTGCAGCAAAATCAACAACTGGGTACCAAAGACCACCATCAAGAAACCCAAGGTACGATTAGGAGTGTCGTAATGTTACTGATTTAAAAAAAAAAAACACATCGTACAGGGCAAACTAGCAAACAGTAGCAACACGTAATGCGATGGAGAATTGTCGGGAGAGAAGGAGAGAGGAGAAACGTATTTTCAGAAAAAAAAGACAGTACAAGAAACACGAAAGCGGGAGCAAATCGAGATGTACAGGAATCAGAATGAGGTCCGGAAATTTTACCAATGAGTAAAACACCAAAGCGAAGGCTTTGCTGCAAGCACATCCTCCTGTAGAAATGAAGACAGATAAAGATAGCGTGTTGAGTATGTGGAAGGAGCATTTTGCAAAGCGGCGAAGAAGATACCGCAGAACCAATAAGATATGACGGTACAGATTGTATAACGCCTAGCCAAGATGGGGTCAGAATAGCAATTAATCGGCTGAAGACTGGTGGTCTGCAATGCATGCCCAATGATTTTAACCTCAGCATCCTGTGTCCCGTGCACAACAAATGAGACTAGACGCCAATGCCAACTATAGAGGAATAAGTCTCCTTGGTATCGCATATAAAGTGCTATCCAGCGTGCTGTGTGAACGACTGAAGCCACTGGTCAATTACATTATTGGACCGTACCAATGCCTGGTCTTCAAGCCTGGCTAATCCACCATTGACCAAATTTTCACTCCTGGATCCTGGAAAGATCCACGAAAAACACATCGACACATTTCTCCTATTCGTCGACAATAAAGTAGCATTCGACAACACTATCCGTTCAGAGGTGTTTAAAGCCATTTATACGTTCAGCATTCCTGCAAAATTAATACGGCTATGCAGGATATCTTTAAGGTACACAAGATCAGCTGTTAAAGTAGGAATGGACCTCTTGGAGCCCTTTAACACCGAACTAAGAATCAGACAAGTTGACAGTTTGTGGCGTGACAAAAGTGACACTCTGTACACCAAACGGCATATGTTACTCGTGGACGACATCGACATAATGGGTCGAACATTGCGAGCGGCAACAGCCACCTTTGAACGAATTGAGAAGGAGTCAGGCAAAGTGGGACTGGCAGTAAATGGCGAGAAGACAAAGGTGATGGTATCAACGCGCAAGACGTCCAGTAGACTCGGGACAACTGTGGAATTTAAGAACTACAGTTTCGAAGTAGTCAAAGATTTTATATACCTTGATACCGCCATCAATAATAATAGTGTTGTCCAACAGATGCTACTATGGTCTGAGTAAGCAATTTAAAAGCAAGGCCACCTCTCGCCAAACCAAACTCACACTCGACTAGACACTAATACCACCCATGCTGTTATATGGATCTGAAGCATGGGTACTTGCGCATGCAGATGAGGCATCTCTTGGAGAACAAAATTCTTCGAAAGATTTACGGGCCGATCTGCGTCGACGGTGAATATCGCCTTCGAATGAACCATGAGTTGTACCGTGCATTCTATGACATCGACATAGGCAGACATATCGTGCCGCAGCGATTTCGTGGGCTAGGTCATGTTGTGAGAATGGATGAGGATGCTCCAGCTCAAACGGCATATAAGGGGAAGGCCAAAAATTCGATGGATAGATCAAGTGTAAAACATTTCGAAACGACATTCAAATTGGTGGAGCTGTGCATTTATATTTAGCGAGTAAAATTAACCTAGAATTTTGTGTGAAAAATTATAATTAATAGCGTACATATATTTACTTCTGAAGGTCATAGAATATTTACTTCTGAAGGTCATAGAAGGATAGTATATTCAAGGGAGTGGTTGACCTTTAACTTCATACCAATTGGTCCATTTCATCCTCTAGATATTAACAGATCATAAATATTACAATTTAATATTTTTTTTGGATTCATAAAAAATTATTTAACTAAACTGAATTTTTATCGGGCCACGTTTTGGTATAGCCCCTATATAACGGTAACCCAATATTCAGTATTTTGGAAACATTTTCCAACCGAATTGACTGTTATGTAGTATTTTGTGTTCTCATTGAATAACACATATCCGTGCCAGAAATTATTAATATTGACCCAAGTTGCAGGATAGCCCCCATATAACGGTACCCTTCAACATTCGGTATTTTGAATACGTTTTCGAACTTGGCTGCAATTTTGTATTTTGGGTTTTCATTATACAGTCGGCATGTTCTGGCATTCACTTCAACGGCAGAAATGTATCGAACACACGCCGAGGTGTTCTGTAACACACTTTACACCCATTTGAGGTGTATTCTTTACACTTACATTTCCATAGTGAGAGTCGGGTGTATTCATGTTTTTTCATGTAAAAGAAAAACTTTTTGGAAATAAAAAAGGCACATGATGATAGATTGATATGTTATTATTGCGTATAATTTGTTTAAAATCACAAAATGAATATGAAACACCATTAAAAACAAATTTTAAATAGATATTAAGGTTTGTCTTGAATTTTTTTTCAACTGAATTTCTCGCTTGACACAAACAGCTGATTTGAAGTAAGGCCGAAAAAGATAGGGTTACCAAATGTTCCCCTTAAATCAATAAACAAATTAATGATATTACAGAGTTTTTCATACATATATTTTACGTTGCGAATAATAAAATATTAAAAAAAAAATGCAGTCGACTCCGCTTTACTGTATGTCGCTTAACTGAAAAATATCGGATAAGTGAAATTGATTTTCTGCACCATTACATTTTAGGTTAATCGCTCACAATTTACATCGCATAAGTGAAACTTAGCATAACTGAAAATATCGGATAAATGAAATTGCTTTTGGAGTCAAATATTGCAATTTCCTTTCAAATCACTCCACATTACTGAAAATCGTGAGAATGGAGGATAATGACAGAATATTTTGCATTGATGAATACACATCTTCAAAGCTCACCCTAACAGATATTTTTCTGCAATTCATGATTTTTCCGAAGTATGGAACGTGTGTGTCAAGTATATATAAATTTGACGTCGAATAATGTTAAGTTCGTTAGGCCAAACTTTTAAAACCATTTGGAAATTTCGAAAAAGAACTCCGTTCCGCATTTCTATATTTTATATACAAGTAACAAATATGTACCAAAATATGTTACAGAATGTACCGTTCATAGGGGAAATGTCAAAACGAGGTCCCATATAATTAACAAAATTTTGAGGAGGTCGTCCACTTTTAACTACTCTAAGTTATTATTAAGGCCTTCTAGATGATAACCAATTTTTAAATAGAAACAATGTAAACATGTGAATCTATAATGAACAAATTTTAATAAATAAAAATCAAATAAGTTGACATGCTCACACCAATTTCAATTTCTATCGTCTATTTTCATACAATTCGATACCTACGAATTCGATATAAAATACGAATTATTGAAATTCGGATAATTGAAATTATTTTCAGTTAACCGAACTCCGCTTATTCTCGATTTTAATTTTTCAAGATTTTCAATGGGCTGGTAAATCAATACCAATGCTTGTTAAGGTTTGTAACTTTGCACATATATATTTGAAGATTTAAAAGAGAAGAAAAATAATTTACAAAAAATTTTTGTTATTGCTTTGTTGTTGTTTTTTGCAATTAAAGAAAAGTCCTTATTTTCGATGGCGGGCATGATAACTCCTCACTGGAACATCGAATCCGAAAATTCCAACGGCGTTAGAAAGAGTACATGTCTGGCTCTCGTATGAACTAGGATTATTGACATCGCTCTAAAATTAACAAAATGGTGGGCCTTTGAAAAAATATTTTTGGAAAATCGCCGATTTTTTACCAAAACCCAAGTCAAAAAATAAGGAAGATCTTCACCGATTGGTTTTATCCTAGTTCATACGATAGCTACACACTCACAGAGAAACGTGTAAAAATTTGAAGTCGATTGGGTTATTAGTTTTTGAGTTATCGTGCCCGCCATTCGCAAAAAAATGTTTAGAGAAAAACGCGTTTAAAGTTTGAGAAGCCCTTCAGCTGACACAATAAATCGGCTATATCTTTAAGACTTCTTGAGATTTTCATTTGAAATTTTGTAGGCACACTCTTTAATTAGTGTAGATTCGAATTATATCAACAAAATTTTTGACCCCGAGAATGGGAGGTCACCTTAAGTGAAAACATCGGATAACTGAAACAAACATCCAGATTTTTTTCCATTTCAGTAAAGCGGAGTCGACGGTAATAATAAAATTGTGGTTAGAATTCACGAAATTACTAAAAAAAAAAATACAGAAACAATGTTAAAAACGAATACAGTTTATATTGTATGGCAACACTATTTCTATTCTGTCGACGTTTATTTTTGTCGCAGTTCAAAATTTCAATTCACGTGAGAAGCAGAACAGGAGGTAGCTTCTGAGGTGAAGTGTATGTGTAAAGTGAAAAGAACACACCGTGAGTTCCAGAACATACCCGAGTATTTTTCGGTTAATTGACCCTACGCTTAATTGGTTTCCACGCTTAATTGAACCACACGATGGCGCAAAAAATATTTCATAGGAAAATACATGTAAATTTTCTCGGAAAAAGACTAGGTGGCATCCCTAATAATTCAAAACATATGTTTATTGCTAAGGAAAAACTGCGAGAAAGCGTAATTTGTATTT